GACTGGCCTGTAGTTCCCCAGGTCTTCCTTTTTTCCCTTTTTAAAAATGGGGATTATGTTTCCCCTTTTCCAGTCAGCGGGAACTTCACTGGACTGCCACAACTTCTCAAATAAGATGGATAGCAGCTTAGCAACTTCATCCGCAAGTTCCTTCAGGACCCGCGGATGGATCTCATCTGGTCCCATAGACTTGTGCACCTTCAGGTGCCTTAGATGGTCTCGAACCTGATGTTGTCCCACAGCGGGCGGCTCTTCATTCTCCCAGTCCCCACCTTTGCCTTCTGCGGCTTGGGCAGTGAGGCTCGAGCACTTGCCGGTGAAGACCGAGGCAAAAAAGTCATTGAGTACCTCTGCCTTCTCTGTATCCCGGGTAACCAGGTCTCCTGTTTCGTTCCGTAAATGGTCTTTGACAAGCGGGCTTTCTCAAGAGAGCAATTTTAACAACTTGTGAAGGCAATAAGAAGTCAAATAGTGAGGCCATTGGCCTGTTTTGATTTATTCTCTTAAAATGACAAGAAGATACTTGGATGAGACTTGTTCAATGTAAGTCTAAAATAACTGCTTTCCTGCTAGATCACAGAATAATTCAGTTGGGAGGGATTTGGAGATAATTTAGTGCACAAGTACCTGCTTACTGATGGATCAGTCATCTGAGCAGAGCCCCCTAGAAAACCTGCCAGTGGATATGAGCTCCGCAGGCAGAGGGCACATGGTAGCCTGGAGGAGACCTGTTCCTGCTGGTTATCTGCCTTGCTAGGGTAGAAGGGCTGAGCACCACTGCTGGGCTAAAAGGAGGAAGGACAAAAGTCCTGAATGGGGAATCTGCGTGAGGGAAAAATACAGGAAAGTGTGGGCTAATGTTGGTAGGTCAGTGAATAATGTCGCCCCAAATGTCAGCCATTCTTGATGCATGGTGGCGCTTTCCTCCTCTGAGCGGTGCTCTCCAAAAAGAAATTCCTCTTACTCTGCCTAAAAGTCCCTATACCAGCTTGCACTGCTGGGCTCTGCAGGGGCATGTTTCTTACTGGTGTCAGACTGGGACTGTAAGTTTTGTCTCAAGCACTGCACTGGTTTCAAGCAAAGACTTGAAACCTTCAAGCTAGAAGGCTTTTGGGGAGACAGGAAAGCACCAACATTTGCAGACTAGGGCAGAGTAGGAGTTCGCTAGCATTAAACCTACACGCTCCTCACCAAAGGCAAGCATCGCATGCGGGAAGGGTGTATTTGTGAGAGAGGGAGCAAAGAGAGGAAACCTGTCACCATTGCAAAAGGGTGGGGTTTTTTCTTTTTGTATTTGGGACAGAAAAATGTATATTTTTCAGGCAGAAAGCGACTTCTTGTTTTCTCTCCTCTCACGGTGGACGTGAATGAATCTCTAGGACTGCTACTCCTTTAACAACTCAGATTGTTGATACAGGCCTCAGGGAGTCAGATGTACATTACTTTAAAGCCAACTGTCTATATTTTTATATTGTGAGACAATGACCTTCACTATGTGGGAGAATGAACTACTAGAGAATACAAACACAAGCAAAGGGAAACAGGAAATTGCAAGTGGTGGGAAATTTTTAAAAATGTACCCAAAAGGATTCCATACGTGGGACCGTATAAATAAAGTTCTAATATCTGACTCCAGTTACTCCTATACAGTTCTTAATGGGATATGGCTTCCTTGGGGAAAAAGGAACTGCAGGTCTAAGGTGATTGCTTCATTGGTAAATTGCTTTGTATCTGATGCTTCTGGCAGTTTGGAGTCCGTAGTAAAATACAATTTTAATAATCAGAGAACTACTTTCCTTGCAAAAAGAGGCCAGTTTAGAGCTTAAACATCCCGCAGAAACAATTAGCCAGCTAATTGCCTGACCTTATTCTCTCTAAGAAAAAGGATTTAATTGGTTCAAAACCACTTAAATATGTTTTGAATCTCATTCTTCTAATTTCAGTATTATTTAATTTGCCTTTATATCATGTACTTCCAGAGGAAAATTGTAAAGCAAGGTACAAATGGCTGTGAAACCAGAAAGTTTGGGGACTTGCAAGAGCTCGTTGCAAGGGAGGCATGCAACTCTGATGTGAGCTCCTTGCATTCAAAGGTTTTGGTTATAAGTTGCCCAGAGCCAGCAGTATAAAGGAATATCAGGCTTTAACTTCTGAGAGTGAGAGATGGACAACCCATGTTTGGGACCAACTGTGATCTACTGAAGCTGTCCGAGAGAGCACTGGAGTTAAGGAGATTGAGATCATAACCACAATTTGCCCAGTGGCTTTAATACTACTGAGGCTATCCGGTTTTTGGAACAGAGTAAGGAAATCAACTTGGTGGCTTTTTCCCCTTTCCTTCTCCCCCTCCAAACTTTGCCCCTAGCCCTTTGCTGCTTTGTATAACCACCTTCCCCCAGTGACTCCCTCTTCATGGCTCAGAGAGGATTAAGACACGTGCTGCTTCAGCTACAGTAATTCTTCAGCACGGGAAGTGTTCAACCCCAGTTAGGAGACCTGTCCTTCCAGTGGAGACACCCCATGCAACAGCTGTCAGTAACTGTTCTCACATCACCTATAAGCCTTTCTTTGTGTGGGTAGTGCACAGAAATGTATGCATGCAGTATATATCAAACATTACCTGGCCAAAGTGCTATTTTCAACATGGACTGGAAGCTGCAAGCAAGATGCTAGATGGAGACCTTGGTTGAAGCCAATCACTTTTTTCGGGCAATTTTTCTTTTTACCTTGAAAGCCATTGGCAGCTCAATAATGTAGAGGTCAACGTAGTCCAGCTGCAGGATCTTCAGGGTTTTCTCCAGCGTGGGACGCACCAGCTCTGGGGGGTGGCAGGTATTCCACAGCTGGGGAGGCAAGCACAGGCTCTTTTTGGGTGCCAGGAGGAACAGTGAACATCCTCCAGCTGACCCCCCAACCACACAGACACATTCGTCCTTCTGACAGAGCCTGTTATGCACAGTGCAAAGACATTGTGGTCTACATCACTGCAAGACAAAGCTGAGGGGCCTTACCCTGTCCTCTGCCAGACGTAGATGTAGAGGTTAAGACAGGAATCCTTGGCTAGGACTGTTCCAGTGCTGACCCAGTAAAGCCATTACATATTTGTTTATTACAGCGCAGGTTCTTCTGAGTCGAGTATATTGCAAACTCTTGCTCAATGAACTTAGGCAGACTCCTTTTGTTTTCCGAGCTTTCCAAGCATATGCTTTCACTGGAAAACTTTGTTCCCACAAGAAATCTGTGGTCAGTTTTATGCTTGAAGGCAGAAGCTTAGATCATGTGAGTTAGCTATTGAACAGCCAAGCACCCAGCACAAAGAGAATCTTTTGGTTTTCTCCTGTGGTCATGGAGCTTTAGTGACTGCCTGATCTAGGGAAGTTTTCATTTACTCCCCAGTCCTCACTGAAAGATGTATTATTGTTTAGTTACTGTAACACAGGTGTGACTAGTTAAAGCACAGCCTTTTCAACCTCTTTAATCACAACTGCTTCCTTGCGGGGTTATGCCCTGAGGTTGCTATGGAGTGTGCTTAGTTGATTAGCTTTCAGTACTATCTCTAACTGAACTCTCCTGATGCAAATCTCTTGCAAGAATAAAACCATAGCTTGGTAATTAGTAACCAAGAGCTCTTTGTAAACTGATTGCTGCAGTTCAAATCAACAAAAACCAAAATTAACACATAATAGAAGGTTTGAAGTGCCATTTGCTTGCACACAATAAGTTGGGCTACTTTATCTTCTTTTTTCAATGCACAAAACTGATATGTGGAGTCATGTTGAGGTTTTTGACACCTTTATTGGCTGGAAAAACCTGCTGTTTGTTGGTATGGTCATTGTCTAGCCAGTTCTGCCACCAAAGCTGGCAGTCATAGCATGCCAAGGCATAGAATTAATCCGTTCTTGAGATGTCAAACACTTGAATTGTGATTTTCAGGAGAAGATAGTGATTATAGGTGTCAAAGGACATAGCCTAAGTTTTAAAGTATTTTAGATGTTTGGGTTTTTTAAACCAGATTATTATTTTCCGAGAGAATAACTAGCTGTTCAGTTCTGCCAGCAGAGGCAAGGACAAGTTATCCTGAAGTTCTGTTGTACTGAGAGCAACACACCTGACCCTGCCCTGCTGTATGTTGCAAGGCCTGAAGAGTTTATGATCACTAAGACAGTGGTTACACAGGCTGAGGTGTACTACAGTAAAGGGACCAAGGTCCTGCTCTCTGACTTTTAAGCTGTTCTGCTGGATTTCCTGAAAGCCTTTGGTCTGGATGTTTTTTAAGCATTTGCAAATCTTAGATTTTCATTTTACATGTAAAATGAGATGTTGTTTTGGACTTAAATATAGGTAAGGAAATGATTCTGTATAACGTTCATGTTGAGCTTGTTTTGTTACTGTGTTTAAGAAATTTAGTAACCTGAGGTATGTCGATAGTTTAGAAGCAGTTTTTCTGAGTGCCCTTTCTAGCCCAGTGCTATTGAGCTCAGTACTTGCCAGTGAATACAATTCCCTTTAAAAAACTGCAGAAGTTCTAAAGAAACAGCCTTTAGAAATAGCAAACATTTGTACTATGCTAATACATAGATGCCATGGAAACTTAAGAGTTTCATAACTGTTTTCATGATTTGTACAAGTTATTGTATTATCTACCTAAGCAGAACCCATGTAGACATTTGAGCAGTCAAAGCTGCCAGCTGGCTTTGGCATTTCAGGACACCACATTTCCTGGAAATGTTACTTCTAGTTTAATGAAAGAAATATCCTGGGATGAAAGAGGAGACCAAAAAGGTCTTGCTGTATAAGCCAAGTGAGATGTTGGCAGTTGATATAAAACCTCTAAAATTTCTGGATGCTGAGCTGCTCTGCCGGATCAGCCAGCCAGCAGCAAGAGCCAAGTGCAAGTGCTGATGATTTCAACTGGCAGATGCAGCCCAATTACACCAGGTCACTATTCCAGTAACACTGCCACTCAGCGGGGCTGTCCTTGTTAGTCCCTGCTGATGGACCAGCCTTCAATTTGCATTATCTTTGTTTAAGGAAAGATCTGCATGAGGGGCTTGAGTCTGAAGGGTCTTGGGAACTTCCAGTATTTCTGATGTCAGTAAGGCTGAAAACAAAACCAACTTGTCTTGTGCAGACTACTTTCAAGAATGGTCTACTGTATCTACCATGTTTCTCAGAAGATGCAACAGTTCTTATCAGTCAGTTACCAATATATCAGCCAGTTACCAATCAATGGCTGATGTATCTACCAGTGGCTTGATATTTGTCTGTAGTTCATAAGATACGTAAGTTCGTAAGGTACATAAAGCTGAAGATACATAAACTCATAAGACAAGGGACACCCAGTCCCACTCCTCCTGGGAAGTTCAGAGCTGCTGTGAACCTGTGAAACCCTGTGAAAATCCTGGATTGTGGTGGATTGACTGTCCTGGTTCCGGCAGGGATAGAGTTAATTTCCTTCCTAGTAGCTGGTACAGTGCTGTGGTTTGGATTTAGGATGAGAACAAAGTTGATAACGCACCGATGTTTTAGTTGTTGCTAGGTAACGCTTACACTAGCCAAGGACTTTTTAGTTTTCCATGCTCTGCCGACTGAGAAGGCTGCAGGTGCACAAGAAGCTGGGAGGGGGCACAGCCAAACTGGCCAAAGGGACATTCCATACCATGGGACGTCATGCTCAGTACATAAACTGGGGAAAGCTGGCCGGGGGGGCCGCTGCTCGGGGACTGGCTGGGCATCGGTCGGCGGGTGGTGAGCAATTGTACTGTACATCACTTGCTTTGTGTATTATTATTATCATATTATTATTATTATTATTATCATTTTATTTCAATTATTAAACTGTTTTTATCTCAACGCACGAGTTTTTCTCACTTGTGCTTTTCCAATTCTCTCCCCCATCCCACCAGGGGGTGGGGGAGTGAGCGAGCGGCTGCGTGGTGCTTAGTTGCCGACTGAGGTTAAACCACGACAATTGGCTTGGTTGCAGATTATTTTCCACTTCTGCCTTTGAACTCTTTAAAGACTACAGAGATGCTTTAATGAACTATCACCCTGAGCACCTGAAGTTTTATCAAGCACAAACAGGACACAATAGAAAGATAAATCCATATGTGTCCCATCTCACAGTCACAAGACAGGCTGGAACCACAGGCACTGACTATCGTGGTACTATGAGTTGCAGCCCTGTGGCTTGCAGGATCTGCAGTTCAGGGAACAACTGAACTTACAATCAAGAAATCAAATGCAGTTTCACAGGTGGCTCAATGTTTAGGTAGTGATCATCAACTAGGAAAATCATCTAGTGATTCGATCAGACAACTGAATATAGAAAGGCTTAATAAATAAGTTTGGAATCCTGATAAAATTTTTCCAAGAGATGCACTTTCACAGAATCTAAAGGTTTATATGGGAAAATAAACTGCAGGGGAAGCAGTTGGGAAAGTTAAAGACTCAAAACTGTTAGGACATCTGGTTCTAACCTTTTGGCACAACTTTGTGTTTTTGATTTGAAATATTGCTGGTAATTTGCAGTAATGAAACTATAAAACAGTTGAAACAAAATATTTTGACTGATCCAAATCAACATATTTGGCATATGGGAGACTGAGAGACTACCGTGATAAAAGTGGAAAATTTGAGGATGTGAAGCTTTTCTCAGGATGGCAAGGTTGTTACCAGTAGAACTGAGCAAGGAACTTGGAAAAGAGTTGCATACTTTACAGATTGGAAATTGCTGTACTGGGAAATTGGTCTATAGCTGCTGAAAATCCACTTGGTCTGCAAACTACCCAATCTGAAGCTTAGTTTCCCAGATCATAGAGCTTAACTAAATTGCTCACAGTAAAACGGGCCTTTTATCCCATGGGATCTTTCACTCTAGGAACCATGGTATTTATTTCCAAGTCTGTTGAGTAACTTTTGTGGATTACGTCTTATTTGGGAAAGGACAAAGGGAAAATATTAGGCTGATATGTCCAAAGAAGTACTGCAGGAAGGGGAACTTGAGGCCATAAACTCCATTAGAAACTGGACAGGCACCATAAATTTTCTGGGGCCGCCTGATCTTTGTTCTGCAATGTGCAATGAGCTCTCTCTCTTATACCTGTGATCTAGTCATCGTAGTTGTAACAGCTTTTGTCAGACACTTGATCGGACGTGGGATTTCATTCTTCTGGGAGAGAATCAACTCTTACGACTAAGACTTTAAAGTATTAACTAGCTCATGCATTACTCCGGCCTCGTTGCTCTAGAGCAGAAGTGTGATGACATCTTCTCTCCAAGTAAGTTGATTCATCATCCTAGAACTTTTTAATGACAGGTGATACAGTAACTAAGGGTGTAGTTTGATGAGTAATTTTCTGGCAGTAGTACCAATGTAAGCATTTGCTGTTCTCCCAAATACAGACACTTGCATGCACGTGCTTGCTCCCACCCCTTTCATTGTGCAATCTCAAGGCAAACCTGTATGGGGAATTGCTCTAACAAAAAATAACTCATTTGCAGGATCATTGGCCAGATCAGGCTCAGTGTGTGACTACACAAATGTGCGTGCCAGCACAACATGTGGGACAGTAACAGCTCAGGCAGCACTGCTGAGGGTAGCAATGGTCTAAACTTGCAGGTACTCAACAATACTAGGCAGAATGGATGTTGCATGGCTCCCACTGCTAACTGAGCTTTAAACTGAGAACAGCAGCGATTCCTGTGCTTTACAGCAAATCTAGTGCTCGTAAAGCTCTGAGGCATTATGGTAATGCTAGGGAACAAAAATAAAGAATGTTGGGTCTGGAAGCATGCCAGATGTTGACCACCAGCATTCTTAAGAAAGCCCATTCACAGAAATCCTGGATTTAGTGTAAATAATCTGAGTGCAGCTTCTCACCTTGCCACAGTAAAAAATGTCTTCTCGCTTGATCCTTCCTTCAGCAATCTTCTCCCGGATGGCTTGTCCCACTTCATGCTCATTGTAGTAGACGAAGGCACCGTCGATATGGCGGTAACCAGCATCAATGGCAATTTTCACCGACTCCAAACAAGAACCTTTGGGAGTCTAATGGGAGAAGAAAAAGAATAAACAGAGTTCCAGCCTTCTGCTCACCTCTTTTGCAATTCCATAGAGCCCCTGAGATATGCACAAGGTTCATGCTGGAGTTCATCCAGTCTAACCATCTCTTACCTCCCCAAACACCTGTGTTTCAACTTCTGAATAAAAATGTGCTGTGCACTTTTCTTCAAAACTGTCGCAAATGTGGAATTAGACTGGAAAAAGGAGCAAAGCAAAAAATTCTCTAAGTGTCTGGGAAAGAGAGAGTACTAGAGTCCTCAGAAAGTAGAACTGAATGTATTTGATATGAAAATCATTTCAGAATTTCCTATCTAGAGAGCAGGGGCTTTCCTACAACAGCCTTTTGATAAAATCCCTTACTCAAGTGGAAGAGGGCTTTTTGGTTGAGAAGAGCTGGTCAACCACCTGCCTGATCAGAGGCTGTTTGAATACCTTACGGCCCCAGTAGAGCTTTCAGCAGAGCAGGAATTTGGACTTGACTTCTTTCTCCTCAAATCAACTTACCATTGGTGGTATCACAATCTGAAGGTGACAGTTCAGGACTGTCTACTGGTACTCCTAGTTCTGGACAGTTGCTTTACCATGTGGCTAAGAACTAGTAGCTGCTTTAGTGTACATTTATATACATCTTACTGCTTCCATTTAAGATCATACCAAGAAACCTCTTAACAAGTCCAAGTGGCATTTTTGTACTGTGTGCTGCACTTACGTTTACTCATTTTTGCTGAAATTCAGAGTAAGCTTGTTTTTTCAGAACAGTCATATTTTCCATTAGCCAATGTGGCAAGCAAAATACACGTAGGTCAAACCAAGCAAAAAAGCATAAGACTGGTCACTGATATCATTTGAGTGATCACTGAAATTGTACTGAAAACATCTCATTGTTGCCACACTTTGTATAACGAGAGGGCAGCTCTAAGTGGTCAAGGGCTCTCAGCGACATGTGGCAACACTATTTTTCCACCCTTTTCATAGGCATTGCTCTGCTGCGACAGGGACGTCTGATTCATTTAAAGGAAAACTGAAATAGGGTGAGTCAACCTGCTCTGCTGCGCTGCTATCTGCCAGCAGTAAATGCCAAGAGGTGAATTTTGCTACCTCCAAGCGAAAGGCCAAGACCACGCTACTTCTCCTATGAAAAAAACAGATGTGAGAGACATCTGGAAGTGAGACAGGGTATGAAGACAGGATGTCAAGTTTGTTGGTTTTGCTGATGCCAAGGAAAGACAAGAAGCAGGACTGGCAATATGTGCTGTTAGGAAGGACCACTTTACACCACAGCAATCAGTCTCCCTCCTCTCCCTCCAAGCCGCCCTTTGACAGCAGCCACTGGCTTGGCTGTCTGGGAGTTTGCCATAAAATAAGCAGCTGCGCTTTCAACAGCTGCTGAACTAGGTGTGAAACCCATAGCTGCCATAGGATGCTGCAGCGACTAAGGACACTGGTCTGCCCTTCCGCGTTCATGGAAGAAAGGTCTATGAAGGACTGCTGAAGACACATGGGGGTCAACCTCTCTGTCTTTCACTCCCAGAGCTGAACGCTGGTGGCAGATTATTCTGGGGTAATGGGATCTTATCCCTGCCTGCTCGCTCTGCTCTTCAGTGTCCCATCCGGGCTGGCCACTGTTGGACACAACTGGACTGACTTCTGTTCACACTCAGGACTTTCTGCTCCAGGATACTGTGCCTAAAGGTTACTTAAAATACAAAGCCGCCCACGCTTGCCCTTATTTATTACAGACATGAGTGAGGGCTGAGAGGCAAAACGGCACAACTTGGCATGTTAAAATATTTACATCAGTGACGACACAATATTGTCTGCTTAATTGAGAGAGACAATGAAACACTTGTTTGGATGCTTTGTTGCTTTCCCTGTGGGAGCCTTCCAAAGGCAGGCTTGGCCCCTGCCAGGGCCGTTTCCTAGTTGTTAGCAGGCTGTAATGAAGACCACAGCAGCTAAAAGACTTTCAGGAGCAGTCAATGGCTGGTTTTCACTCAGGGCATGTTCTGCAGTGTTACAGAAGCGCGAGGCATGGAGCAGTGCAACCTCCAACATGTTGACTGCTTTGTCCCTCCCTGAACCTGCAAGGAAGGATTTGAGGAAGGCAGCAGGCAAAAAGCTCTGACACGAGTACTACAAGCCTGCAGTTACTGATGACAGTAACCTCAGACCTTTGTCTCAGCAATGAGCTGCGCGAGGCTGTAGCCACGGGTGCAAAGCTCAGGCTGACTAGCACAGAGCAACGGGGCTCAGCTTAAAGGTCTTGTGAGCTCAAGTCTAAGTGATGACTAGTTATCCAAAAGAGAAATATATTTTTAAAAGTGCATTCAGTGTTTTCACTATGGAACCTGATTTTTCAAACAGCGTGACTTTTAGATTGCTTCAGCCTGTTTGACTTCTACCATTCAAGTGTATGAAAGCAGAACATTTAGAGTACAGTGATGCATTACCTTAATGCAGATTTTTAAAAAAAAGTTTTTGTTTTAACTTTTTCCCTTTTGTTGAAGAGCCTGAAAACGGGGTGTGACCCTAGAATTTCTTCTCTCTTCTCTTTGCAGTCTTGAGAGATTGCATGAACATGGCTCCCATTCGTTTCCCGAAGCTGTAAACTGAACTCCACCAAGCAAGGAAATGTTGATTATTGAGTTGCACCTTTTCTCAAACACCAGGGCCAGTTTGGTCAGTAACAAAAGCAGAAGGAACAGGTGGAAGAAGGGTAGAGTCTCACATATAGGGGAACGGCATAATTGCAGACTTGGGAGGAGGGTGGAATAGAGGAAAATGAGAAAGCTTGCAGTTATTGCAATTGCCTTTGGCTGAATCAGTTAACTTACATTAGAGTTAGTGAACTTCTATGTATTTCTTAATCTTTTGCATGGGACTTACACACATCTGTATAAATAATCTTGTGAAAGACTCCTCCATCTCAAGGATTAATCTTATTCTTTAGGGGCTTGAGGAGGTTTTTTTTGGATCGGGCCTTGATTACCAATGGCTGGAGATGGGTTTACATTAAATATAAATGTTTTCATTGCACTAGTTCATTTCATCTGATGTGGTATATTAGTTCTGACAGATTCTGGTCTAAGGTGCTTCATATAAAAATGCAAGGCAACCGAGGGGAGAGTTTTTGGAAAATCCTGCTTCTATTGAACCATCCCAGCTGAAGGCCTGGGACATCTGCGAGTCTGGAAACTTTATACCATATGTTTATTTTCATTCTAATGGAGAAACTATCATTTCTAGCATTTCACATAGCTAATCCTTCCAAATCCTGCAGTAATGGGCTGTGGTAAACTGTGCTGATGAGTTGCACAGGCTAGTCATGTTGTGGTTTTGCCACTTTTTAAGAAGTGTTGCCTTAAGTGTCATATCTTATTCCATTGTTTCCTGACAGACCATATTAAAGCTGGATGACTCAGATCACCACTACTCATCCATCTTTCCATCAGAGAAGGCACAAACCTGGATCTTTCTCCTCTACCCTGCTGTTAAACCTGAGGCATTTTAATCTCTTCTGTCTTTCATGGCAATAAAGTCTTTAACTAGTAATGACCAGATCAGAGATTGCCAACTGAAAACCAACTTTTACTTAAGTGCACATAGAAGTTTGTGATATGACTGCTCTTAGGTCTCGTGGTGTTGTGTAAGGGTCGGTACTTCAAACACAGCAGCTGATGGAGCGGTGCCTCCCAGCCTGCCCGGCCATAGAGCAGCGACCTTTAGTCTACCAGAAAAGCCAGACCTCCTCCTTCTTAATGCGGATTATACTCACTAGCGTACATTATCTAAAATGTGGTTGCCTATGCTGTCTGCTCATTTCAGGTAGGCCTTTATTCTTGCACCATTCCCAAATAAGCAGGGCTCATGTTTAGAGGAGCACAAATGCCAGATGAGGTACTGAAATGTCTCCATGCTATAAACCTTTGTGCTTTGTCAGTAGTAATTCAGGACGCTTTGGCCTTAAGACAAACCTTTGCTTCGTTATTACTTTTTATTTAAGTGTAGATAAGAGGTATGCTTGATCCTTAGCTCTAATTAATGTTTCAGCTTGTAATCAGTGTGCCCTGCAACTACGCTACTTTGATCAAGGACTCTTGTTTTAGAACTGGAATTTTAAAACCACTTGTACACTCTAAGTCAGATTTTTATCTTCAGTGCTCTTACAGTCCGTCACTAATTTGTGCCAAAAAGGGTATTAAATTTATTACATGTTTTATGATAAAAGAAAATCTGCTTGATTAACTAGAATCACTCACTCAACCACTAATAACTCCTTCAATAGCATGTAGGTTATTTTTAAGATCACAGGAGTTTAAGGAAACAACACACGCAATTATTCCTTCTATCAATCAATAGCTTGTAAACCTGCTGATTTACCACCACGCATGACAGATTAAACCAGTATCCATTTCCATCAGGTTCCATGACAAACAAATCTGGCAGAAGCACAGGGGGAGCAGGCTCAGATTTGCACCTTCACTGAAAGAAAGGAAGAGGCAACTTGGCCCCTTCTCCATAGATGAAGTAGCCAACTGGCCAGTTACCACATTTTATGAGTCTGAAAAAGCAACGTGCTTCATCAGTTCTGCCTGTCTGAAAGGGTCTCTTTTTCCTCTGAGACCATGAACTTCTTTATTTTTTAATGTTTATTCCAGACACCTTCCATCACAACCCATTTTGTCAAAAACTGTTCTCCCTACCATAAAAAACATACAGCTTCAGTTTTCCTCATGACTGACTGTGACCAAGCCACAGGAGAATATTTTTTGTGCAGGCATACCCATGAATTTTACTGTTCCCTCTGAAGTAGAACAGTATTTACTTAGCAGTGTTAGTGGTTGTCCTACACATTACTGTTATTTAGTGTTGCATTTCAGCTGCCCTCCAATTCTTTTGCTTTTTCTATAGCATCCTTCTCTGGTCAGCAATTTCCATCAGCTTTCCAGCTGATAAAGAGCGATTCTGGTTACCTCCAAAGACAAAGCTAATGGGACACATTAGCGGCAGATCATAATCTTGCAAAACCACATGAACAACTACCATAGGCACCGCTTTTATAAACGTATTAACATCGCTATTGTCATTTATTCTTTATTAGTGCATATAGTAAAGGAAAACAATCTGACTTAGGCTCCCGGATTCTGCTCTGCCTCATTTCACATATGCAGCTTTACAGAGCTGCACCAGTCTTGGCAGCATGTGACAGCTCAGGAAGCCGTACTTCAGGGAAGGAGCCATCCTGAGCATCTCACCTGGGTAGTGCAATGGTATCCAGTCCCTCAGCTGGAAATAATGATCCTGGGAGGAAGAGCTTGAGGTGTTGGGAGAGACAGGGCCATCTCCTGGAAAAATCTGAATGTAGCTGCAGCTGAATTACACAAGAGATCCAAACTGTGGGCTAAGTGCTCCAGTCCTAACCTATAATTTAAGATGTGGAGCCACTGTTTAGGAATCTTAGTCAGCTAAATACAGGAAGGAGAAACTAGGTACATTCCTGGGCTCAGAGCCTCCTTCGGCAGAGCTCGGCACTCGCACACAGATTCTTATGCAAGTTTCTAGAAGCCCAGTTGCTTATTTCCATTTGCCTGTTTTCCGGACAAACTGGCAAAGAGGACTGGCTTAAGATGTTAGGAACAGAGCATAGAAAACATGTGTACTGAAAGCATTACAGGAAAGCACAGGTTGAGTTTACAAAGCCAGAGGATATGAGCCACACAAGAGTACATTCTTAGAATTGTTTAATCTTGTAAAGGAGAAGCTGTACTGTACACCTCTTTCTTGGAAAATACAACTGCCAGCACATCCCTCTCTCTTGTACGCAGGAAAAACTGGCTTTCATCCCCCGGAAGCATTGGCAGCCACCATCCAGGAAGCAAAACCCAGCAAAGGGATCTCTGCAAGAGCAGGTAGAGCTGAGAATGGAGGCAGAGAGCACAGCTG